TCGGGGACGTTCTGTGTACCGCTGCATTTATCGCAAAAGGTAATTTACACTTTCGACGGGTTGGTAAATCGGTAAAATCGTCGTGGAAGATCGTTCTCCTCGATTCCAATGGTTAATTGCTTACGAATCTTCGCCGTATAAGGTTGAAGGATAATTTAAGATCATTTCGATATATTTCTAGATTTTAAATTTATTTCTGAGAAACTAGTTTTTCCGAATTATATAATATCTTGAATATACATAATTTATTGTATATAGTTTTTATATAATTATATGTACTCCTCTTTCCTCTATAATTATATATAATATAATATACAATAATATATAAATATATTCGTTCATTTCGAGGTTAGAATAACGAGAAACTAGTTCTCCTAAATAATTTTTACGAATCGTAACCGTTTAAATTTATAAGAGAGAGAATTTTCTAAATTATATTAATAAATTAATTTTTTTTTCCTTCTAATTATATTTTTCTTCCTTCCATCTTCTTCTGAAAATCCGAATTTATATAAATTTTCGCCAATTTTATTCTTCGGAGAATAACCGATCGATTTTTTCGAAATAAATATACGATAAATTTTCTTTTACGCAGATTTCAGATTAAAATGGCAGGAAAAGTGTATACCAGTTCATCTCCTCGTAAAAATCCGAATTTGCATAAGAATTCGCCTACAATCGGGATGATTAGGACGTTCATTTCCCCCCGAGGGCGAGGAGGAAGGTATTCCAGCGTAACCGGCCATTCTTTATATTTTTCCATGAACCAACCGAAATGTCCATCTGTCGGTGCGAAAACAATGCAAACATTCATTACTCGGTACGGAACACGCGTCGAAATCCGTGTTCCGTCATAAAGCATTCGCGTTTCGCCGGCGACATGAATCACTCTCCGGGATACATGGTCCCTTGTTTTTTATCGTTACAAGGTCACGTTCGTCGAACACCACTGTGCGTCCGTCTCTCACTTATTAAAACCATCCTTCTCCCCATCTCTGCCACACTCTATAGCCGCCGCCTATCGTTCACCATCGTCGATCGGTTCCTCTCTCTCTCTCTATTCCCTTCCTCCTTCCCTTTCTCTAAATATTATTTAATACCGATACCGTGGAAGAGAGAGGGGAAGCCATTAATGGGACATCCGCGGCAAATATAACCTCCGTCTGGATAAAACGTACAGGGTAAAGTTATGCACGTGTGCACACCGAGTGATCGATTCTTTGTTGCGAAGATGAGAAGGAAACGTAGGGTAAAGAAAAAAAATCTCTCGAAACTTTACTCCTTTATACTTCTTATATCATTCTCTTCATCCTTTTCCATGGATAATCTCATCGTGCGAATCGTTATATTGCATCTATTCGATAAAATTTGTATTCTTTAAAAAATACAAAAATATTCAACGAACTTTTCTTCGATCAAACTCGATACTCGAATACTCGTTCGCGCTCGGTCGGTAAACAAACCGTTACCGACGTCGACCGAGCTACGCCTCGAAGTTTTTTTCGCCAATAACAAAAAACCGAGTAAAGTAACGAGCAAGTTTTGTTGTGTCGTTTGAAATTACCTCAGGAATCTTTTTTTCCTTCTCTCGCCTTCTGCTCGAAACGCTCGCTCGCTCTCTCGTGAGTCGTACCGATATATTATTATTGGCAAAGATAAAAGAATTTCGAGTGGCGAGCGAGCGAGCAAATGTCGCGAGATATACGAGTTAAACTGGAATGGAATATACACGGTTGGACAGGTTGGAGGCGGGCCGCCCGTAAGAGGGGGAAAAGGTCGACAACGTCGTGCATCAATGGATTGTCGGTTTCCGACAACGATAATCATGTGCATCGCGCGCGCAGGGGGGGGGGGGGGGGGAAAGAAGAAAAAAGAAAAAAAAATAATAATAAAAGAAGAGAAAAGAGAGGAATTGCGGGAAGGGAAGGGAAGGAGGTCCGCGGAGAGGAGAGAGGGAAGAAACGATGCGAAAAAAATGGGGACTCGCGATATAACGTTCGTTGTCTCGATGCGCTGTACTACCTGCGCGATACACCTCGTACGTACCTCGAACTTCCGTGAATCGTTGAAATTGCTAAAAAAAAAAAAAAAAAAAATTTCAAATCGACGATTTCCAGAAATGAAAGATATCTAGTAAGGAAGAATTTTTCCATCTATAAATCGATTTTTTTTTTTTTTTTAAATCATTGGATGATACGGCAGTTCCAGTTATTTGGAGGTTAGGTTTTTAAAAAACGAAAGTGTTTCAACGATGAGAAAGAAAGAACGACTGATAAAAAAAAAGTGTGTGTAAGTAGCTCGAAGAAGATTATATAAAAATATGGAATGGCCGATCCGGTGGACACTTTAATCGTTAATTATTTCACCAATCCCTTGTTCACAACGAGCTCTTTGTGTCGCGCGCGGCCATTTCTCAATCGAGTAAACGAAACCCGACCAACTCATTGTTCCAAACTTCCATCGAATCTTGATGATTGATTTACGCGGTAAAAATCGATCGTGCGTTTATCTCAATTTTCATTCGAAATTTCACCGAAAATCGAATTTCGATAAATCTTCGATCGAATTAATAATAATTTCGAGACGAAATTCAATCTTCACCTTTGTCATATTCGAAAACTGTATCTCGTTTCGAGAAATGGACCATTCGGAAGGACGAATGAAATACACAATAATTTCTCGATTAGAAGAATAATTAATTTTTTTTGATCCACTTGCTGAAGAAACGTTTTAAATTACAGCAATGAATATTTACCGAATCGTATTGGAAAAATAATCGGGAACTTTGCTAAGCCTGTGACAAATATATCTGGATCTTGGCCCACTGCTCAACGAACCTTGTTCAGACACCATTTATTATTGCCCGCGAGCGGTGCAACACAATTGATCCAAGCAACGACCGATCCAAGAGCAACGCACCGCGAGATTACCGTAATAAAGATAGTTGGTACCGGTCCAACGCTGTTTATCCAAGAGATT